TATTTAAAATATTTTATAAATTATAAAAAGTTGAAAAAGTCATTAATGTCAAATTGAATAAATGTCCAGTCATTTTTATTTTCAATTATGGACAACTAATTTATAACATCAGTGGTATTTTTCCACTGTTGCAATTTTAATTCATTTCTAAGAGTATTATTAATTTTGTCCCATTTAATTTTGTTTACATTTCCAATCTCACTTATCGAGAGAACCAATAACTGCAAGGAAGTTTTTTTTAACTATTGAACAAAAAGTTCTGTTATTCATACATTTTTAGAGCATTCAAGTACAACATCCGATAATGCCCCTTTCTTCAAGCAATCGTTCATCCAATTGTGTATAAAAACTACATAGGAGATATGAATCTACCTGCAGCATTCATGCAACTTAAACTTATGGTGTTTAAACCTTTTCCACCACTGCTTTTAAGTGCTCCAACTTTCATGTTTACTTTTCTAAGCTACTATTTTCATTGGTTAATGGACAGTACACAATCCTGTTTTGTCAATGTTATTTATTTGGTTAGCAGTAAATTTGTATTTATCAAAAAATCTGTAAACAAGTTCTTTATCTAAAACCCTAGATCTGACAGTTAATGTTGGCTCTGGAGTATGTAAAGATAAACAAGGTTTATCTTTCATAAATTTATAGTACCACTTCTTCCTGATATTTCTTTTTCTCTATTGAAGCAATGTAGTAGTTTATGTTTTTTGAAACTGATTGATAAGCATGTTTTTTTTAAAATGGTTGCAATAATTCCAAAAGCTTGATTCTAAATTGAGAACATGGTCAACCAACTCCTCCATATTTCATGTCATCCTTAGGCCTTGCAAATTTAACATTCTTATTTAAACTTTTGAAACATTGCTGTAATGTTAGTTTAGGAATGTTATATTGCCTATGAGTTTCATTGAAAACAATAACTCTATAATTTTTTAAAGCTTCTTCCATATCTTCTTTTTTTCCATTATTATAAATATGTTGTGAAATAATTATGGCTTAAAAAAAAAATTATAGCCGAGTCAATTGAGAATATGTAATTTTAATAGAGAAAGTTCTATAATGTTCTATGACAATTATGTGGTTATTAATATTTAATTATAATTTATGTTAATTATTCAATTATGTGTTTTTTTTATTAATATCTTAATTTATATGATAGTAAGTATCTTTTAAGCGGTATTTTAATGTTTATTTTTGAGGTTTATTTAATAAAAATTTATGTAGAATTTTTGTAAATGCCAGAGTTCAGTGGAGAAAAATGTATTATTAGGTGAGATGTAACTTATTGTTGGAATTAAAAGTTGCAGGATAAAAGTTGCATGGTAGAAATTTGATATTGACAGTTTCAATTATGTTTTTAGGGTTATAAGTTACATATATAAGTTAAGTACTAAATGTACTTTAAGAAAAGAGTAATAATAAATTTGTAAAAAAACTTATCTAAATATATGTTTCACCTTCAGCAGGTTCACCAAGAAACCTGATGCTTTTGAAGTTAGTCTGTTTTTAAACCTTTTTCAGAAACTGATTCATTGAGATTTCGTATATCTTCATAGACCTAGTACGTTTGTGGGAAATACATCCCCCAAATTACTGAGCCACTGCTAGTTTGCATATGATGTACATGTAAGTGTCATACTTTATGCTTTTAACCTTTTTCACATGTACTCAATTTATCATTGAAAACATGAAAATTACTTTCTTGATTAAAAATAATTTAACTCCGATCTTTAACAGACCAGGTTAGTTTTCTAACACCATTTTTCTCCTTGCAGTGCAGTCTGCGATTACTACAAATGGGTTATGTTAAGTGATGTAAGAACCAATTCCACGATTTTTTAAAATCTAACAGTTTCTTTGCTCGCACTATAGGCATTTTTCATATTGTTGAATTCCAATTCATATTTACGGATTGAATATGGATTTTCTCTGCTGTTTACAATGATGCAGCGTTCATCTTGATCTGAAAGGTTTTTCAGTTGTCCAGAAATCTAATCCTTGTTCTACTAATATATTGCAATTAACTATGTCATTACTAAATGACATGCTTTTAATTAGCAATTACGGATTTAAAAAAACCATTAATTTGGTTATTATTCAAAATTAAGTGTCACTTGTATTTTTCTACTTTATCATTCCAAAAAAGCTAGATTTCAAATATCATTTCAGGTTTTTGACTAAGTATTAGTCTTTGCCATATAATTTTTTTATATATATATTTGCTTTTCAAGATTAGGGAACTTATACAGATGAGGTTGGCACATTTTTTTATTTAAATTTTTTTTATTTTTTTAACCATAACCAACAAGGATTCAATGAAACAGTGTAGTAAAAGTGTTACTACCCAACAGTGTTGTAGAAGTGTTATTTCACTACGTAACTCTATTCTAAACTCTATTACTTATTTAACATTACTCATTGTCAATATCAAGATCATCTTTAACAAAGCATGATAAAATATGTGTGTGTGTATATATATATATATATATATATATATATATATATATATATATATATATATATATATATATATATATATATATATATATATATATATATATATATATAAATGTATATATATATAAATGTATATATATATAAATGTATATATATACACATATACATATACATATAAATATACATATACATAAACTTATACATATATATACTTACATATATATATGTATATAAATATATATATTAGCATATATATATATACACATATACTAATACATATATATATATGCATATATATATATATATTAATATATATATATATACAAATATTTACATATATATATATATATATATATATATATATATATATATATATATATATATATATATATATATATATATATATATATATATATATATATATATATATATATACTGTGTATATATATATATATATATACATATACTTATACATATATATACATACATATATATATGTATATAAATATATATATTAGCATATATATATACACATATACTAATAATATAACTGTATATATATATATATATATATATATATATATATATATATTGATATATATATATATATATATATATATATATATATATATATATATATATATATATATATATATATATATATATATATATATATATAGTGGGTTGCCAAATTATTAGGGACACTTTACTTTTTTAATAATGTTTAATGATTATTGTTTAATAAGTTTAATGATTATTGCGAGCAAATAATTTGTTTTTAAATAATTTTTCTTGTGTATTTTAGTTACTAACATAATTATAATTGTTTTCAAATTGTGGCAACACTGTCAGTCCACCCTAACTTTCAAAAAGTTAGGTTATTATTTAATTAGCTGTTAATAGTTCAATTAGTTAAGGCTAATAATTTATTATTTTTGCTAATTTTAATGCATAAATCCTGACTTGTAACCATTCTTACCTCATATTGATTTTTTTAGTATAGCCAAGTCTTCCGACTTAATCCTAAGAAAAAGTATGGAAGTAAAAACCTTTCTTCTTCATTCTACACATTCTCAGAGAGAAATAGCAGCAATTGCAAGTGTTTCAAAGTCAGTAGTGAGCGGAATTAAAAAAATCGATACAAATGTGCCTTTAGAACCAGGCCGTGTCGGCAAAAGTGGCCAAAAAAGCATCACTACTCCACGTTGTAACCGTAAAATTAGGGACATCTGTCTTAAAAACAGGAAAAAAAGTGTGGCTCAACTTGCTAAAATGATAAACAATAAAGGAATTACCATCTCCAAAAGGACGGTTCAAAGATGGTTGGCTGAAGAGAATTTAATGGGTCGTCGCCCAACAAAACAACCACATTTAACTGAAGCCATGAAAAAAAAGCGACTGGATTGGGCTAGAAAACACCAGCATATGACTATTGAAGACTGGAATAGAGTAAATATAATTTATTATATTGTAAGAAACCAGAAAAATTATAGGATTATAATTTAAAATATCTTTGTAATGTTTTACAGGTCTGCTTCAACGACGCCCAGGAGAAAAATTTCACCAGGACTGCCTTTTAGAAAAGGTTAAACATCCTGTGAGTGTAATGGTGTGGTCTGTGATCTCAGCCAAGGGTATGGGCTGCCTCTACATTGTGGATGGGACCATGAGGCAGGATCAGTCAAGCGTGTACTGGAAAACAGTCTCCTGCCCCAGGTTCAAGAATGGTTTGCTGATAATGAAGAGTACATGTTCATGCATGACCCAGCGCCGTGTCATAAAGCTAGAAGTGTTACAGCATTCCTAACTGAAAAAAAAGTGTATGTTTTGCCATGGCCAGGGAATTCACCTGATATGAACCCCATAGAAAATCTGTGGGAGTTCACAAAACGGGAAATTGCCAAAGAAATCATCACTACTAAGAAGCAATTGATAGAAACCCTTATCAGAGAGTGGCATAACAACCCCAGTCTCCAACACAATGCAAAAGTTTGCATAGAAAGCATTCCCCGACGCCTGAAAGCCGTCATTGTAGCAAAGGGTGGCATTACAAATTATTAGGATTATTACCTTATTTGTTATGTTAAAACTTTTTATAAAAAAAAAAAAAAAACTATGAATAAAAAATTATGTTGTTTTACATTCTAAATAAAACCCTCTAACAATAAAAACAATGTTTAAAAATAACTACAATATATGTATTCATTAAAGTAGTTTAAACTTTAAAATTACTTAAAAAGTAAAGTGTCCCTAATAATTTGGCAACCCACTGTATATATATAAATTATTAACATAAAGTTGTTTGATGTTTTGTTATATCTTGTATTTAAAATTGTAGGCATTCTAGATATTTTAATTTTATGGATAAAAGTTAATACTAAACATTTAGTTATTTAAAATAATACCAAGTAAAATTTCTTATACCTTTATTTATAATAATTAATTTTAAATGTTTGAATATTTACATAAACAATTTTAAGTTAGTTATTTAATAATTAATTTATAACGAAGTTTATAAGTAGTTATCTTATGTTTAGATATACAAATCGAGTGGTTACTCTTTGGTACAGGCCTCCTGAACTACTTTTAGGAGAAAGAAATTACGGTCCGCCAATCGATATGTGGGGTGCAGGTTGCATAATGGCTGAAATGTGGACTCGTAGTTCAATAATGCAGGGAAATACTGAACAACATCAACTAACTTTAATTTCTAGTTTATGTGGAGCTATTAATCCTGAAGTATGGCCTGGCGTTGAAAACTTAGAACTTTACTCTAAAATGGAGCTACCACAGCAATCTAAACGAAAAGTCAAAGAACGATTGAAAGTTTATGTAAAGGACCCGCAAGCACTAGACTTAATTGACAAACTTCTTTGGTTAGATCCTTCTAAACGATGTGATGCTGACTCAGCTCTTAATCATGACTTTTTTTGGAGTGATCCAATGCCTTGTGATTTATCCGGTACCCTTTCCAAACTTAGTACATCGATGTTTGAACTTCTTACTACGTCGAGAAGAGGAGCCGCTGGTCCTCGAATGCCTCCTCCTAATCAATCAAAACAGCAGACTTCGCAAAATATGGGAGGGGTAATTTATGACAGAGTTTTTTGAAAATAAATGTATAAGTTGCAATAACATTGGTAATCATGTTTATCCCTACTTACCTGTGAATTCTCATTCAATGATACGATAAGATGAAAGCCTTATATTTGCAATGATTCAAGAGATAGAAATTTTATATTTTAATTTATCTTTTAGAAAATATTGGAAGTATTTTTTTTACATATATATACTGCTTTTTTCGAGATTTATTTTTTCGTATACTTTATCAGCTTGAAATGAATAACTTTATCAGTCTATCTAATAAATATATATTTACTTTCATAGTTTCTTCTATACTTTATTGTTTGTTCTATACTTTTGAATTTACGCGAATTTATTCTTATCATTCAATGAACTTGTTTTTCAAGTTATAGTAAATTAAAATAATAATATAGATGGAGACTTCGCTTTTTTTTTATTTTAATATTGTTTATTCATTTCTGTTTAAGCTTTGAAGGGGAAAAATAATAAAATATTTTTTAAAACTACATATTTAAGCAGTACAAGTGATTAAAGGGCTGACTTTGTGGATTGATGTCTTTTCGGCGACATCGGCGAAGAAGAAGCAGAAATATTTTTCATGTTATTTGCGGTGCTTTATAATAAAAACCATTAAGACTTCTTGGAGTACCTAATCATAAGCCATCCCGTCACCCAAATTTTATTATTCAACGTAACAAGAAATGCTATTTAATAGTATTTATCAAATTACCGAGAATTAAAATGTAAAATCATCAAATATTTAGATTGCAAACGAATTGATATGGGATATGACTCAGCTTTTTTAAAATATTTTTAACAACGCGCAGTGCCTCGAATAGATGAAATGGCTAAAATTATTGAAATATCTAAAAATAAAATATTTAACATGCTTTATGGTTTTTCTGGATCAAGGAATTCATTTTTGAAGTTAAAACTATTCAAATTGTCATTTTACTAGCGGGATGAAGTAAATAAGGGCAGGGTATATTAATTTTTAAATTTCAAAATCAAGAGGGTTAATTTTGGAAAAGAACTATATAGGGGTTCCGAATCTGCACAAAAAAAAAGGTGGTCCACTTGCTATAAAAGGGAAATGACTAAAACATGATAAATTAAAGGTGAAAACTTATAACTATGAAAAACATTTACTTTGTAAATTTTTTAATAAACTCGCCATCTGTTGAATTTTTAAGTTTTGTCATTTGAAATTAAAAATGATTTCATCAGTTGAATTTTAAATAAGTCATAAAAATGACTACATAAAGTGAATTTTGTAAATGAGGGTTTCAGACAGATTTTTCTTTTATTTAGAAATTTAATCGTAGGTGTAATAATAAAGCGAGTTTGATTTTGCAAAGAATTCCTGAGGATTTCGAATCTGCAAAAATGCCTTTCCTCGATGATATACTTTTTAAAAGTTGTTAAAATACGAATAACGAAGTGCAATAAATATAATTTAATTTGATTTTTTTTTTATTTGAAGTCATAGATCTCTATTTAATATGCTTAATTTTACTAAATCTTGTTAAAAAAAAAAAAAAAAAGGTCGAATCAAATATCAATAAATTAATTCACTTTTTCACAATCAGACTGTAAACCGCAACAAGGAAACTTATATAAACGATTAATTTATATCTTCAAATATAGTATTATTACACAACACTTTTGGCATTTGTTTTTAAAAGTTACGTTCTAAATGTCTTTTAAACGTCTTTTAAATGTTCTTTACGTAAGAATGCTTAAAAAGACATTTAAAATACATTTAGAACGTAACTTTTAAAAATAAATGCCCGTTGGGAATTGTCATTAATATTGATTGCTATCGGATGCTGTACCTTTACTTTGTAGTCTTTACCTTCTAAAAAAACAAATTAAAGAATAAAATCTTTACAATTTTCTGAAAAATCGTCCATTTTCGATTGCTTTTTTACTTCTAAAGAATGTTTATCAAACATCATTGTTACTAGGCTTAGCGATCGCCGGATTTTGATGCCGTTATTTTCAAAAAGAAATCAACCTTTAATTGACACTATTGCACGTACATTTTTGATAACTTTGGCTTTTCGGGAGGCAAATTATTTAACACTTTATCTATCTTTTTACCTACCTCAGCAAAATTGTTAATTTAAATGGAAGCCAGAATTTCTCGATCTATGATACCAATTACTTCGCTTGAACAAATATATAAATCTATGTTGTGTAATCTTTGTCTACTAAACCACTTGGTCTAAGCTTGTTGACGTTCTCTCCAAGCCATTCAAAAGGATCATCTTCACCATTTATACTTTTTACTAATTCAAGATTTTCTGTAATAATTTAAGGTATGCAGTTTAAAATGAAATTAAATGGTGGACAGTGGAGTAAAAGATCCAGAAAAAAAAATGTATTGTCTTTTGTTAAAAAAGAAATCAAACTTGAGGAAAAAATCAATACCCCCTCCTACCCCATATCTGTATACTAACTTATGGACTCCACCTAATGTTACACAAATACAATAGTATTAGTGCAACATTATTGCTTAACTTTAGAGGCTTAGCAACCTAAATTAAGAATAGCTCACCTAATTTAATGTAAACTCTCAGGTACTCAATACAATGATAAGGATCAATATAAGGGTTATAGCTGGGGTAAGCACCCATTGTAATTTAAAAAAAAAATGTTAGCTTATATTAAAGAGGAATGCCTGCTCTGACAAAATAAATAAATACAGAAAAAAATTGACAAATGCACAAAAAGTAACTTTTTAGCCAATAATGTAATTGTTTGTATATGTAGCTATGAAAATGTTTTTACAGGATTATAGTCACAGTCTGGGATTTTGGGAAAGTTAGTTAGCTATTTTGTTTAATTTCTTTTTTTCTTTTTGGCAATGGTGAATTATTTATCTTTAAAAAATTATATCTTTGACTTTGAACATGATCAACAATAAATCTTGCAGAATATTGTGAACAATACTAAATAAACCATTCAAAACGTACCTCATTAACAGATTCATATGGTTTTAGATTTTCTTTTAATTTTTTAATAGCTTTATTTTTACTTGAAACATTCAACGGTCAAAAAGTTTATCGATCTAAATATATATATATATTATTAAAAATATCGTTGGTTATAATGTTATCAATTAAGGAAGTTTTTGTTTGAGTAATTCTAGTTGGTTTGTTTATTAGAGGAACTGCTCCGTTTTCAAATAGGCCATTATAAAACCCATTAATGTCTTTTTTGACATGATACTCAAAGCAATTTAAATTCAGATCACCTAATATGTAAAGTAATTTTTTTTCATGGTTGCTTTTATTTATAACATCATCTTGTAAAAATGTACTAAAAGTTTTAATTTCGCCTGTAGGTGGGCGATAACAACAGCTTATCACAATGTTTTTAGTTTTATTGTTCAATATTTCAATTGTTAAAACCTCTTTATTGACATCAGAAATACTCATGTCATGCCTAATATAATACTGAAGGTTTTCTTTTACATAAATAATTATTTTTACATAAATAATATATATATATATATATATATATATATATATATATATATATATATATATATATATATATATATATATATATATATATATATATATATATATATATATATATATATATATATATATATATATATATATATATATATATATACATATATATATATATATATATATATATATATATATATATATATATATATATATATTTCAGCTGAGTAAAAAAAAAATTGAGACATTTCAAATGTAAACAAATTTCAAATGTTTTTATCTAGGTGACGTTTTTATATTTATAGATTAATAAATTATTTTATTATCTTTCGGCGACTTTTTAAATCAACAAATTTATAGATCAAGCCTTCCACGTCAATATCTTTAAGAAGAGAATTTTCATTTTAAAGAATTGCTAAAGCTATCATGCTTTGTCTTATGTTCACCTTTTTAAAGCTGAAAAGGATCTTTTTGTAACAGCAACAGGAAAACAAAAAACCAGGAAATATCCTTAAAATAAAATTCGACATTATGGAATGTGAAGTTTTTTTGGTTAAATAATTTGATCAAAAGTAAATCTAAATGACTTGGTTTTCTCGTTTCACCGTTACCAATTTCAATTGAAGTGGGAACAAAGCTCTTGAAATGGAGACATTCTTTGGAAAAAAATATTTTCGCATTGTTGGTTAGATTTTAGAAAGTTCCTGGGCGTGGGATGTGAATGCAACAGAACCCATACCTGGAAAGCGAACAAGCTTGATTTTGTCTCTCAAGCTCAGCTAAAAGTCGATGATGATACTAACTTCATTAATCATTTTTCTTTTTCCAGTAATGTCTGATGCCACAATCGATGTCAATCCGTCATGTTGGCTTTTGTGCGCTCTTTTTCGTTTCTGGTCAGCAGAGTACTTGACGGTGCCCACCAACATCATAGCTTTTTTCAAATTTGTCAAAACTTGATCTTGCCTCTTGAACAAAAATAGAAATAGCATTTACCATAGATCATTCATCACTGTTAAATAAATTTCAACGGCTTAGCATTTTGTTCACTCTATTAAACCTTTCTATAATTGTTTTCCAGGCAGGACCATGCAAACAGCAAGTCACCGGGGCAAATTGCTCGAGGTCTTAGGCCCCAGAGGGGCCCCTACCAGTGATGATGTCGTTAAAAAAACAAGCTCATTCAAATGTGTTCTCATGCCAGGACCTTTGATGAATATCTTCACATTGATTGATTGCTACAACCAGGTTATTCAGGCATGAAAAGCAATTATTGATATTGAGGAGAAAAATATTTGAGTATTGATCAGTCACACCAAATCTGTTCGAGAAGAATGGCTAACAATAACGGAAGATGTCAAGTTAGCTGTATATACTTCAAAAATTAGTTCTGAATTTCCAATCTACCAAAAATTAAGGCGCATAGGTTTTACTAGGCAGCAAATTGAAGCCGATGAACATATCACGGAATCAATAGAAGCAAAATTATGAGAGGAAGCAACATACCAGAAAGCAGTTTTTTATGACATTCTTAATACTATGATTGGTGGACTCACCGCTTCACAGCCATTCAAAAAATATTTTTTGTCGGAAAATCAAAAACTGTCTAAAGCAGTGATCAAAAGTGCCTGCTCCCATTTTTCTCAAAAATACTAATGAGACGTTACCAGTGCCGAATTTGCTATAGGGTATTTTAGGCTAAAGCCTGGAGATTAC